AAGTCGGCGACGAGCTCGCCCGCCCGGGGCCGACGCCTTCGGGGGCTGCAAAGTCTTCACGTCACGTCACGTCAGCGGTTCACACAAATTTTCCGGGCTTGATGTCATTTTGGGAGTTATTTCAGAAATAAATTCCACCCACTCAAGAACCGAACACTTCATTCAAAAATTGTACTCAAGATAATATTATATTACATCTTATGATTATTATTCAGGAAAAAAGATTCGGAATCACCCCTCCAAAAACAATCATCGTGACAATTGAGGTTTTGTTTGTTTTTCCATGTCCAATATGATTAAAAATGTATTTTTTTCCAGTGCGTTTCAACGAGGCTCTTGAAGTTTCGGGTTTCCCCCCCTCCCATCCCAAGGCCTTCCAAAGTCCAGGTGGGCAAGGTCTCCACGAAGCGGGCGCACAGCGGCAGTCTGCGCGCGCGCGATAAACGCAAGCCGAAGGACGCCCTCGCCGGGCTCAGCGAGCTAACGAGGCTAACGATGCTAACGGGCTATCTGGGCGCCACACACGGCGCGGGAAGCGGCCTCGCAGGGAATATTCAAATATCGGCAGCGCGTCGCAACGTTCCAAGTGCCCTCAGATGACGGTGACAAGCTGGGATAAGGACGACTTTGCATCAAATTACGACAACCCAAGAAAATAATACTAAAATGTCGCTCGCTAACTTTTGTAATGAATGTCATGAAATTTCCCCAGGGAGGGTAAAATAAATAAGGAAAGAAATCTCTTTTCAAATGGCATTGCCTTCTGTGGCAGCCATGGTAAAAAGCTGCCAGAGAAGCAAATGCTCCCGTTGTGTGGCAAAAAAATCCATGGAAGCAGAGTAACGTCAAGTTTTTGCAGCGCTTCCGGAATTCCACCACGATGACCCGAGAGCCTTGTTTGCAGTCAGTCCGATTGAGTGAAGCGACCGGTCTTCGGCGGAAGACAAATGGCCCGGCGGGCGGGCTTGCTTCCAAGGAAAACAGCAGCTGCAAGATGAAAAGTCTCCACGCTCGCAACACGGCCATCGCTCACGTGGGAAACTAAACATGCCTCCTTCGCTCGCCTCGCCCACGTTAGCGCTGTTAGCAAGCCGCCGGCATCCGTCCCCGTCCGCGGGCGACATTTCCCTCGGATCGCTCTCATTCCCGGGTCACTCTCGCAAGAACAACGAAAAAGCCAACCGACAGATTTTCACTTTGAGTGACGAGCCGCAGACGTGAACAATTTGTGGCCACAAACCGTTTGTGTTCGTAAATACTAAATTGTGGCTAGAAAATAAAAACAGGTCAAAGCTGTGCAAGAAAAACACATTTTGGGCCACCAAATAGCGCCGAGTCATGAAATGTGGGCTCAAGGTTGTTTTCCCGAAGGAATCAAACACACTTCCTGCCTTTCAAGTGGAAGCGGCGGCCGCTTCCTCCCTCATGCAGGTGAAGGCGGGCGGGCGGGCGGGGACAAAGACGGCAAGTCCAAACACGGAGCTTCACCTCAACGCCACCGACGCTGAAAACACGCAAACCACCACCAAAGATCTCAAATCGGGGCAAAATACGCTCCCCCTTTGCCGACTGACATACTGCCGCCTGGCAAAACATTTGACTGAAGCGAAACAAAAGTAGAAGGGCAAAATCTGACTTGCGGGATTTGGTCCATTTGAAGCTCCGATGTCAGTGACGTTTCATTTGGGAACATCATCTTCAAAAAAAAAAAAAAAAAAAGACTTTCCAGTGCTACCTTGACTTACGAGTTGAATTTCTGCCTGACTTTAACTCCTGATATCACTCACTAGGCCACACCTCTCGGAGGCACACGTACAACACACAGCGAGACACTTTTTGAAGGATTTGTTTTGGTTGCCTGGTCTGGTGAGTGACGTGGGTGTCAGCGCATGACTATACACGTTGCACTTGATCTCCTTTTTTTGCCCGCATTCTTTTTCCCTGGCTCGATCGTCACGTACGTTTACACGAACAAGAGTTTTGGTGGAAAAAAATGAGCGCCGCAAAATCCCGGGATGCGGTCGGGGACGATGTTTTTTTAGCGGGCTACTTTTAAGACTGAAACCGCCGCAATTGTTGTTGTTGTCGTAGCACACAGGAGGGGCGCCTGCGCCTCTCCCGGGGTGGTAAGGTACACCGCGCCCGTGGTGGGGGGGGGGCAGAAGCTAAGCGGCCCATCGCGGGGGCTCATTCCGCCGACGGTCACCGGGTCAAGTGGCGCACACGCGCGCAAACACTGCCGCCATTCACGTGGACGGGCAGGCTTTGGATTTCATACGATTGGGGTTGAGCCGGGCTTTCGCGAACCGATTCATCGAGGTTCCTATGCATGGGACTCAAAAACATTTCGGTCTGCGCCGACTTTTGGATCTCCACCCAAGTCGACGGAGAGGGCGCCTGATTGCGGACCTGTGAAGATGCGCCACGGGCCTTCCCGCTCGCTCGTTTGCCAAAGGCGAAAGGGGGGCGCCCGAGGCGCTGACCCAGAAAGCGGGCCCGCGGACGGCGGCCCGAACCCCGACGCGCGACGTCCCCGGCGGAGGACGGCGTCGGCCGCGGCTTGGCTCCGGCTCGCCGCATCTGTTTGCGCGTCTTTGTGTCGGGGGTAAACCCCCGCCGCTGCCTGGCTTTTGTCTCCCCCCTGATCGCCTCTAATGCCGCGGCACTAATTGTTTAACACAGAAACACATCTTTTCTCCCTTTAATGTTTTTGTTGCTATTGTCAGCCGAGCATTGATGACAAAACCTTTGTGGATTTTCCCCCAACATCCCGCCCCCTCCTCCTCCTCCTCCTTCTCCAGCCAAAGAAAGAAAGACGTGGGGGAAAAAAAAGTGAACATCAGCAGAAAAAAAAAAAACAGGAATGTCTGGCAAGTTGCATCATTTCGCCAAACAAACAGTGTGAAAGGGTGTTAGCTGGCCTATTAGCATATACACACAAAAGGCCCGTGCGTGCGCGCCCGTCTCGGAAATAAAAGGAAAACACACACACACACACACACACACAAAAAAAGAAAAAAACGCTGCACTCGTTACTCTCCGCTAGCCGTGACGGAGGTTTCTCAAAGAGATAAGGCGGCGGGTAAACATGTGATCGCGGCAGATCCAATCGGCTCAAACAAAGGCGATGCGCAACGGAGACGAGCAGAAAGGATGCGCGCGCACGTCTGTAGGTGCGCCGCGGCAAAAGTGGAAGACGAAGCACCGGGCTGCTATCATTTGCATCATAATGGCTAAGTGATACGTGCGCGCGCGCTAAGCGCTTCACCAAGTGCCATACCTTCAAGAAATGTGTCGCCATTGTGCTCCCCTCGCCGCCACCGCTTTCAGCGCGGTATCCGTAGGAGGCGGAACGAGGCCGACGCCTCACGCAGGTGCACAAACAACCGGCGCGGCCGAGACGCTCCAAAAGCGAGCGGCGGGCGCGCTTGGCTCTCTTTGCCGCAAGTTTGCCGGAACGGCCGCAAAACTGGGACGCGGCGCCTTGAACGGCCGGGCCGCGTCAAGGGCGCCTGGCGGCAACCGCCGGCAACCGAACAAAGCGAAACGGGCATTGCGCCTTCAATTTGCAGTCCACCATCGGCGTCAGGAAGTGATCACGCAAAGTACTGGACAGTCAACGTTCGAGTCTTGGAGGAGGTCGCGCTCAACCAAGTCTGCCCCCGTCCCCCCTCACCCAAAAAAATAGATTAAAAAAAAACACAATACGCCACCTTAAATGAGTCTTGCGACATCCAGGAAACAGGAAGTAGCCTCGCAGCATTTGATTTCGTTTTGACAGGTCGTTGAGGGTCGGGGTCAGTTGGAAAAAATCTAACCCGTCTCTGTCAAAAAGAAACAAAATGAGCATTTGTAGCTGACGTTTGGTGCATCCCTTCAAAAAAAAAAAAATCAACATTTCTGCAGTGGCTTTTCAGTTTTCCTTCTCACGTTGGATTTTTGTTGGATTTTGATCCCCAGTTTGGGCTTGGTGGAGGGCCGCTTTCTTTGCTAGCATTGCACCAACGACCTTGGCTCACACTTGACGTCACAACCGAGCTGCCCCCCCCCGCCCCCCCCT